CTCTAAGGACTTGCCATAGGTTGCTGTGGTCCACACAGTCAAAGGCTTTTGCATAGTCAATGAAGCAGAAGTAGATGTTTTTTCTGGAATTCTCTGGCTTTCTCCATAATCCTGCACATGTTAGCAATTTGGTCTCTAGTTCCTCTGTCCCTTCAGAATCCAGTTTGTACTTCTGAGAGTTCTCGGTCCACATACTGCTGAAGCCTACCTTGTAGGATTTTGAGCATAACCTTGCTAGCGTGTGAAATGAGTGCAATTGTACGGTAGTTGGAGCATTCTTTGGCACTGTCCTTATTTGGGATTGGGATGTAGACTGATCTTTTCCAGTCCTCTGGCCACTGATGAGTTTTCCAAACTTGCTGGCATATTGATACATTGATAAGCAGGCTGGCTGTGGGAAGGTAGACCCTGGTTTCTTTTCTGCAGCCAGCCTGCTTGTCAGTGTTCCAGTGATCAGCCGTTCCACAGGACATTGTGTTTTAATGACAAATCGATGAATATTCATTGATTTGTTGCTAAAATTTGGTGCTTTGTCAATTTGAATTGCAACAAAGCACCATTTTTTTCCTGATTCATCCCTATATCTAGTGCTCACCACTTCATGAAGTCCCTGGTTTCTTTGTACTGCTGTAATTGATAGGCAGTTTTTCCTGATATTCAGCTGACATCCAGTTTCCTGTAACTTGAGCCCATTATTACCTGTCCTGCATTCTGGGATGACTGTGAACAGATCTTGCCCCTCTGTATGACAATCTTTCAAATATTTGAAAAGCGCTATCATATCTCTACTCAACCTTCTTTCTCAAGGCTAATCATGCGCAGTTATTTCAGTCTTTCGTCGTAGGGCTTAGTTTCCAATGTTCTGATAATTGTTGTCCTCCTCTTGTCTTGTTCCAGTGTTTTGGCATCCTTAAGGTGCAGATTTCAGATCTGGACACAGTACTCAAGATGAAGCCTATCCAGTGCTGAATAGAGGAAAACTAGATTTGGAGACCGTGTTTTGTTAATGTATCCTAAAATAGCATTTCCCTTTTTTTCAGCCACATTGCACTGTTGGCTCATATTCAGCTTGTGATTCAGCTTGGCCAAGTACCCACATCTTGTATTTGTGTGGTATTTCCCCCCTTAAATGTAGAATCTTGCACTTATCCCTTAAGTTTAAATTTCATTCTGTTGTTTTCAGCTCAGTGCTTGAATCTATCAAGATCTTCTTGAATTATGTTTCTGTCTTTAAGAGTATTAGCTATTCCACCTAATTTTGTGGCATCTACAAATTTTATAAGCATTCCCTGTATCCCCTCATTCGAGACATTAATAAAAATTTTGAAGAGCATTGGGCCCAGAACTGAATCTTATGGCACCACACCTGTTAGCTCCTCTCAGTTTGAGAAAGAACTGTTGATAAGTATTCTCTAAGTACAGTGGTACCTCAATTTACGAACTTAATCCATTTTGGACTGACATTCATACTTTGAAATTTTCATAAGTTGAAGTACCATTTCCCATTGAAATGCATGGGAACGGAATTAATCCGTTCCAGCTTTTCAAAATGCAAAAAGGCAGGTGGGGGAGGGCTGGAAATTCGAATTTCCAGCCCTTTCTCCCTCCCTTTTTGGCTTTCCGCCCAACATTGGAGGAAGCCCTTTGAGAGCTCTGTGGGGGTCTCTGCTGCAGTGATCGGCACCTTCAGAGGTCTCAAAGGGCTTTCCCCCTGACATCGGAGGAAACCATTTGAGACCTCCGAAGGCAAAAAGGCAGGGAGAAAAGGCTGGAAATTCGAATTTCCTGCCCTTTCTCCCTGCAAAAAGGCAGGGAATGGCTCCGTTCACAAAAAATTGGCATTGACTTGCGAACGGAACACCATTTACGAATGGCTCCATTCACAAAAAACGGCATTGACTTGCGAACAGAACCTCAACCTCATTCATAGGTCGAGCTCCATTCGCAAGTCGATGCCAATTTTTGCCAACGGAGCCGTTCATAAATCGAAAAGTTTGTATCTAGGGACGTTTGTAAGTCAAGGGTTGACTTACCATTCTGTAACCAACTGTATATTCCCTTGAGAGTTTCTCTATCCAGTCCACAACTAGTTAGCTTGCTCATCAGAATATCACAAGGCACTTTGTCAAAAGCTTTTCTGAATTCAAGATATATAACTTCTACAGCATTTTCACTGTTCACCAGGGAAGTTACCAAATCAAAAAGTAAGATAAGATTAGTCTGGCAAGATTTGTTCTGTGCTTTCAAACTGTTTAGTACTTTGTTTTGGATATATTACTTCTACAGCATTCCCACTGTTCACCAGGGAAGTTACCGAATCAAAAAGTAAGATAAGATTTTTTTCCTGTGATGGGTGATTTTTGTTGAGTTGTCCTACTCTGAAATTGCCATTCCAGGCTCCCCATCCTTATATCAATTTTCTGCTCTGAATGGGTACTGGAATATTGTTTCCAGGGACTTTTTGTGGCTGGTTCCACCAGACCTTTCTTGTCAGATGAGATGAGTACATTTTGTTGGACTCTCCTACTAGGAAGTCGCTGTTCTGGACTGGTTTGTTTGTTTGTTGTTATTGTTGTTTAGTAATATCGATTTACTGTATTATTGTTCCTGGAGGTGTTTTGGAGCTGGCTCCATCAGTCCCCTCTAGTTGGATGAGATAGCTGAATTTCATTGGGCTGTCCTACTCAGAAGTGACCGTTGTAGAATGTTTTCCGCAATATTGATATTCTTCCCAGAACAGGTACTGGAATCTTTTTCTCAGGGCTATTTTATGGCTGGTTGCACTGGTGGTGTGGGAGCACTCATGCCCCTAAGCCAAGTCAGGGAATTATTTTGGGATTCTGCAATGAATGAAAATTAAAAATGCCTGGTCTAGTTTGGGAGGGCCACCCCAGATGGTAAAAGATCCTTCTAGTGGTCTTGTACCCAAGGCCCCCTGTGTTCAGCTTCCACTCCAGTGCTTCCTGGCAGGCAGACTGGAAAAGGAAAGATCAGTTGGCAGCCAGGTCACCTGATGCATGGATTCATTGCTCATACTGTGCCAGCATCTGTCTAGTGTAACCAATTATCTTGAGAAGTGGCGAGCACTCCAACACTGGAGACATTCAAGAGAAATTTAAAGGACCACTTGGCAGATATCCTTTGCTTTGTATTCCTGCATTGACCAGGGGGTTGAACTTGGTGGCCTTAAAGGCCGTTTCCAACTTTTTGATTCTATGATTCTGTGATTATTGCAGCAGACGGAATCCTTGCTTAGCCAGCACGACAATGCTTGACAGATCCTAGCAGGTAAGGAAATCTTCTAGATGTTATTGGGTTGCAACTCTCATATGTAATGGTGAGGAATTATGGGAATTGCAATTAAACTACATCTGGAGGGCCACATCATTCCCATCCCTTATCTGACTCAGTGATAAAGTCTGAAAAGGACTTCAGAATAGGCAGAATCTTTGTTCTCCTAACTCACATTTTAAAAATTACATTGTTTTTTCACTAATGATTCTGCACCCCGAATGATTCCATAATTAAAACAGATTTGCAGTCTGTGCACCTGAAGCACAACCATCTCTCCTGTGAGCCACCAAGGAGAACCAGAACAGGTTTTGCTCTGAATTCAACGGCTTTTGTAGCTTGGTTTGCATTTGAAGTTTTTCTTTTAAGGGAAAGAGAAGTGACAAAAAAGCAGGATATATTTCTATTTATTCATGTAAATTTTTTTAGGATCGCTTTTTGAGGTAGAACCTCATCACGTTGCTTTACAAGATAAAATAAAGTGTTGGAATCTCCTTCCTAAGAAGGGTCCCCATATACCTTACCATCCAACACTTGTCATGCTGGCAAAGACTTTACTTTGGGACCAAGCTTCTCTAAAGTGGTAACTTGCTCTCTGTAAATAGGTACATTTGTTTCTCTAAATATGTTCTCTGTGCTGCTGTAGCTAAAAATTGGTTTTAATTGAAATCATGTTTTGAGCTGTTTTCAGATTTTGTACAATTTCTGTTGCTGTGAGCTGCCCTGAGGGCTTGTTTAGCCATAGGATAAGATATATGTTTAATAAATGAATGAAATTAAATGAGACATACCATCTTCCTTTGGATATAAAATGAAGAAAGTCAGCTCTCTGGTCTTTGTTGATAAAATGATAAAATTATCAAGTATATAAAAAAGGAGGTATATCAAAATGTACCTTAAAACATTTTATTCTTTTGATATAGTCTTAATATATACCAAAACAGGCTTGGAGAGCTTGCTTGGACTCATTCTACTGCTATTAAAGCATTTTTGCTTGTAATCCCTATCAAAACCATTCTGGATCTACCTCTGCCATGAGAGAGAAATGAATTTCCAGTCTCTTTTAGAAATGGAAATGGTGGATTATATGATAGAACAGTTCCATTTTTTCCTAATTGCAATCCTATGAATATCTGCTCAGGATTAAATCCCTCTGCCTTCAAATAGACTCCCCATGAACTGAGTGAATACAACAGTGGATCTCATCCTTGTGTCCCTAGAGGTTGGATTGGGATTGAATTGTCAGGTTGTTTTTGGATTTTAGGCTCCTGTAGTCTTAGACAGCATAACCGGTGGTCATGGTTTGTGGGTATTATAGTCTAGTCATGTCTGAGGGCCAAAAACTGGGAACCACTGAGATTTTGGTTGGCACACTTCATCTCTTTCCAACCTGAAGACCAAATACTAGTGGCAAAATAACTCTAGCTGACCAAAGTCTCAACCAACCTTTATATTACTAACCACTACATTTCAAAAAGTGTGTTCCTTTTCACAAACTTCAAATTCCTTATTCCTTTAGGCCTGAGCATGGCTGATTTTTAAAAAAAGATAGACAAAATATTGAGGGAAGTTCACATCTTCCAATCAGATTGCGGTTCCTGGCCTATCAGTGGTGACCTAGATTGGGTTGTTGTGAGGTTTCTCAGAGACCACTGTTTGACCTTTAAAATGATTGTTTCTCAGCAGACAGGAAAGCTAGGGAAGAAGAGGCAGTACCATACATGGCCACGTTAAGGTGGGGACAGTCCCCTGTGAGGAAATTTCTAAAGGGTATGTGTTTATTCCCTGCCTTCATTGCATTACATTTTCTGTACTCCACAATCATAGGCATCAACCTTACAATGCATTGGTTTCCTTGAGGTAAAGAGTTAATATTCAAAGAAGCCTCTGGTATAATTCCAAGAAATTAATGTTCTGCATATTGTATGGCTGCATTAAAAAAAACTAAAGAGGAAATGAAATGCTCCTAGTTGTCTAAAGGGTTAAAGCTATAATGATGTAACATAACAATGCTAGTTATTACAATTATGTGATGTCACAAAAATCCAGGGATGGAAAAGGATCCAGTTAACCTACAAATGTCAGTGTTGTGATATGAGCCTCTGATGAAGACTTGAGGAAAACGTCTAGGCACAGAGAAGACGGGGAAGAAAGCCTTGAATTAACAGATGGACAGAAGGGAGTCACACACCTACAGTGTGCATAGAAAAGTGTGAAGCGTACATCTTTTAAAACAGCACAACAGTCTGATGGTGGGCGAACTCATCTTGCATATTGTTTGGCACAAAGGCAGGAAACGTGCCTTCTTTTTTGCGCTTGGCATCAATTGGTGGGGGCTCTGTGTGTGTGTGTGTGTGTGTGTGTCTGTTTGTGTGTGTGTGTGTGTGTGTGTGTGTGTGTGTGTGTGTGTGTGTGTGTGTGTGTGTGTACACACACACACATAGCAGTTAGGTAGGCAGAGGAGTAAGGAGGCAGGAACCATTTTGCCAACAACACAATTTAGCCTGGCCCTTGGGATGAGTAAGCATCCATTGAATTGAATGGGCCCTCTGGGAAAACAGAAGGAAGATAGGGTTTCTCACAATGGATAAATGGTATTCAGACATTGGTTCAGTAAATCTCTTTAACTGGAGGACCACAGTTCCCCAGAGAGTTTTTGCTGACAAAAAGGTTTCACAACTTTCAAGTTTTTTTTTTTTTAAAAAATATGGTACATACATTTTTCTAGGGACGGTGTGGCGCTGCGGGCTAAACCTGTGCTGCAGGGTCAGAAGACCA